TAGGTCACACTCCAATATCAATATGTTCTTTACATATCTTGTTAAGTTATCTAAAAAGGTAAAATTATGGGGTCATTGTTTATTAACTTCCCAGAAATGTATTTCATAAACCAATTAGCAACTCAAGACATCGCTTGGCTCCGCACCACCGTCTGCTCGGCTGCAGTTAATACTCTGCTACATGTGCTAGATTGTGCAACATGTAAAAAAAATTTAAAAATCCATCAAAAACATCCATCCATCCATCATGTACGCATGTTTTAACATGTCGCCAGTTTTGCACAGACATCAGAACTCTTCCAGTTTTTTGTATTCTCTGATGTCTTGCTCTTCTGGGCCGGACATACGTAGCAGCTAAAACTAAAGTGTGTTCAATGCATGCTTTTGTTTTTTTCTGTAATTTAACAAAACAGAAAAACAATCTCTAACATAGCAGTAAATTGCAAAATAAGTTTAAAAAATGACATTGAAAAAAGTTCAAAACCTTTATTTTTTACAGTGTAGCCTGACAATAGACAGAAAGCTGCTTGCAATCGTACTGGTTCAGTCTTTTCAGTTATATTTCTTCACCCTCCATTCTGTGCCAAAAATGGCATCCAGTGTGTGGTTTCATATGGTGTCAAATATGGATGCCCAGGGCAGAAGTCAGGATAACCTGAAATAACTGCAGCTGGATAACACCGATGGCACTGATTTCTACAGATACTGTTCAGTTGCAGTAACTGTGTGTACTATTAGTGGCTGTTGGAAGTTTACTTCATTCAGCTATTTTTTCACTGCAGAGGAGTAAAACTTGTGACACACTAGTGTGTAACATCAATGCCTATCAGAGTTATGTCAGTTACTTTCTGGAAAGTTAAGTTGAACTCTTTAATTCTGGTAAATTTACGGCAGCCATTTTGCCAACATTCATTTGCATGTTAGAGACACTGTGTAACATTCTAAATGTGCCTCTGATGAAGCTGGCCAGCCACAAGAGCTCCAAAACATTAGCAGCATGATGACACAAAGATGCAGTGGAACCTCTGAGGGGACAAATTCCGGTCACCAAGACAAAACTCTCACGAGACTCTTCAGACCAGAGCAACACTTTGATCAGACTCAAGACTTCTTGGCAATGAATATACAGTAGCTACCAGCTGTACTGATGAATTTATCTTTAGATTTAGGCCACAGGTGTCTGCTGTATATAAGCAACATAATGAGTGAAGTTACTGCAGAACGTTATTCATGCAGCTCTCTGATGTTCTGGACTCTCAGAGACTGAGCTGTCTTTAAAACTGATGAGAATAGGTGAATAAAAATGTAAGTTAAATAAGTTTGTAAAAAATTGAAATGTAAAAACATACAGTGTTGATATCCCGATTGTAGCACAGCGAACAAATAGTCGACTATTCGGCTATCTGGGTCCAGCCCTACTGCAGGCAGTGCTGGGAAGACAGTAAGTGGTGGAGACTGGACAAACCGCCATGTCTAACTTACCCCAAGCATCTTTTCTGCATTTTGTTTTTTAAATCAGCACACATGAGACAACATATGTGTTGATAGAGATGCATCAGTGATAATGATATTAGCCGACTAACACGGCTGATCCAATATGTTGGTCAGGCTTTGATCAATACTACATAAGGTCAGTTAAGTACACAAAGGGAACATAAAAAGCTTTGGGAATAAACTGGCTTTATTTGTTTTTTGTTTTTTTTGGGACAACCTCAGTGTAATGTTTTCAGGGCTCAGTATGCTTCAGACAAATACTTGTCATATCTCTGGAACAATCACGCCTACTTCACGCTGCAGTTTTGTAAGACAAGCTTGGGTGTAAGCCTTGTAGGATTTGAACCTTTCACTCCAACTCTTTGTTTTATTCATTACACATCAGCCTCCATTGCTTTGTATGTGTATGAATAAGAGTAGCACCAGGAAAGCCTCGGCCATTATTAGAAGGATAGTTGCTTCACGCCCCTCTCTACGATGTCAGCCAGCGTTAAAACAGCTCTAACATCATATAAACTAACTCATATCTTACGGATGTAGGCAGTTCTTTGAATATTTTTGAAGGGCAGTTGCCCATTTATCATACAGAATCTCATTAGAAGTCACTTCCCACATGGACTCTCATATTGAAGCCCTTAAAATTTGGTTATCCATCCACTTTATCAAACAGTGTCACAATACAAGACTCGGGAAGCTTTTCAGCTGCATCTCAGAACCCCCACATTTCTGTGTTTTGTTTTTGATTTGATTTTATACTTGTATTGGTCTCAGCCTGAGGAGAAATCACGTCTGGGAGTGAGAGCAGCAGGATTTAGACTCCTCATTAATACAGTACATGTCAAATGTGAGAGTGTGCCTTTCCCCGGGGACGTGCAAAGTCTCTAGTGGGCAACCGAGCAAGCCCATTGAGCCTATCTATGAAACTCAGTAAGTTCCTATCTGGGGACAAATGTGACATCTCCCTGCTGCAGGCCTTGTAGCCAAGTTGCTGACTCCTCCAGTAGCTTCACCTCCTGCACAGAAGGAAGTGCTGAGGAGGCGCTCCGCAGAGAATACCTTCCTCACCCACAATAGAGGAGCTAATGAAAGAAATATGAAACCTCTTGAAAATATAGTTAATCT